TAAATCTAACGGGGAATAAGACAAACTATGTGTCACTGGGGGCAGGGAGTCAACTCACTCAGCTCCTGTTAACGCTGCAAGCCAAAGGCGTAATGGGTAGGGTGGTCCAAGCTGGACAAAAAGCAGTGGGAAAGCTTGCAATATCAATGGTAAGCTATGAGGTATTAGCTGGCTAGACTCCAACAGTTACCCCAACGTACACTCCAGGGTCTCCCAAGCCTTGGCTCTCACCAACCTGCGCGTAATACTTTCCGGAATTAGGTAAGCTGGATGCATCCCTCCAGGGAGAGAGAGCGCATTTCATTCCAATAATCTATCGCTGTGATTTCCACGTGTAGGTGGGATGCATGGAATTCTCAGCTTGGTTTGGATACTCTTAAGCCTGGTGATGGGTTTCCACGTGGGTCAGACATCCGGCTCACAAAAAAAAATGGTGTGAAGGATTACTGGCGTGCTCAGTTAAGTGTTGATAAAAATGCTGTGGTACCAAGCCATGTAACAAGTTGCCAGAATTCAAATGGAATGTCACACTTAAGAAGTCTTGAGCGATCCAGCCATCAATCTAAATCCCTGTCGAATAAAGCACAGTTCAAAATCCCTCTCCGAGTCTTGCCAAAGATCAGTCTGCCAAGAGTTTACACTCAGAAAAGATTTACAAATATTTCGAAAGATATATTAAAGTAAAAACGATATGAATTCACCGCTGGTAATTTTGCGGGTGTATTATTATTGTCATAAATCAGTCTTGAGATTAAAAAAGATATCATTAAAACAACACTAACATGTCATCATTATATATTTATTGTACTTGTAATGGCACTGGGCTTCATTTAATAAACCAGCACTTTGATGCAAAGCGGGATATTTGGCAAAACATTCAAATACGTTTCCGTGATAAAATAAATCATAGATCTTCATAGATAAAATAGATCTTCCGTAGCATCTTTCACGCCAGGCCATCTCAAAGCACTTCGCAGTACACAGTAACAGTACAGTTACTGTTTTTGTTCTTTAGGCAAACATGACAGCCAATTTGCGCTCAGCAATGTCCTGCAAGGCAGGCGTGGAGTGAATTGAACAGGTCCATTTTATCTGGTGGCTACTGTTGGCCAGGACATCGGGAGAAACTCCCTCTCTTCTCCAATAGTGAATAAATAATACATCTTCAGAAAACTTGGTGAGACAAAGGCTTCCAATACAATATATCACAGCGGCAAGTCTCAACCTACTTAACTCTTCTTACACGCAAGGCTGTCACAACCCAACTGTCTAACCAGTCATGTTATGCTCCATAATTGCCACTGCATCATAATAATTTTTAGGCAAAGCAATTAAAATTAGCCCATCTTTCAGGCCAGCTCTATGCATACAATGCATTGTGTTTCTTGGTAACAGATGGTTTTACACATCAGATAAAGTCACAATCGGGAAAGCTAACATCTGGAAAACAATTTGTTTCTCATCACTTGCCAAAAGAGCGACCTCTGACTCAAAAGAAAAAAAACTTTTCCCTTAAAGGAACAAAATGGAGGATGTGTTCTGTTCCAAGTTATTATTAGTCAGGACAACCAAAGCCAAAAAAGGAAATCTCAGAAATGAAGTATTGTTTATTTACTTAATTGGATAACTGTAACTTAGTCATTTGCTTTATGAGATGTACCAATGACACGCCTGGTAAATTGCTGTCCTCTGAAGAAACAGCTCTACAATTTTCTATGACACACAAATTATATTTAAAACTGGAACGCAACTTGCTTTCTTCGGGGGCAAGTTTAATTTTTTTTCACAGACCAAAGAATAACTAAAGGACACCGCAGGCCACCGAGACCCTCATACCCAGGCTTGACTATGCAAACTCCCTGCTTGTCGACTACCCCAACTTCTCCCTCCACAGGATGCAGATCATTCAGAACTCTGCAGTCCATGTCCTCTCCCACACCAGTGCTCCGTGACCCTATCACCCTCATCCTCGCCCGAATCCACTGGTTTTCCCATCGCATAGAGGATACAGTTCAAGATCCTGGTCCTCACCTTCAAAGCCCTCCATGGCCTTGCTCCCCTTACATCTGCAACCTCCTAACCCCTTACCAATCGGCCCACTTACTCCACTCAGCAGGCTCCGGCCTTGCAGTTCTTGCATTTTTTTTCAGAGAACACACTGTAAAGTGAATTGACTGTATATTTGTGCTGCAGCCAATTGCGCACAGCAATGTCCCACAAACAGTCATAGATTGAAAATGACCAATTTATTATTGTTTTGGGTTTTGGAGGGATTATTATTAGGCTCTGTGTGGAGTAAGGAAACTTGCCCAAGGTTTCGCCTTCTGCCTGGAATTGAACTCAGGTCTCTCACTTGCAAAGCGAGTGCTCTAACCACTGAGCTACAGGACTCCTGCTTCACATCCCCTGCCTTGCCTGTCCCACCATTGGCGGGTGAGCCTTGAGCCACTCTGCCCCCACCCTCTGGAACTCCATCCTGCAGTCCCTCCGCCTCAACCCCTCCCTTGCCTCCTTCGAGACCCATCTCAAGACTCTCCTCTTTGACCGTGCCTTCCTCCCTGCCCTCCCCCCTCCCCAATCCTGACCCCCAGCTCAGGTCCAAAACACACTGTCCAGTGCCTTGGGATGTCCTCCCAACGTGAAAGACGCTGTACAAATTTAATTTTGTTATTGTACCTGAAGCAATGAACACATACATTGTAAAGCTCATTCTTAATTTTCCTTTTTCCCCACAATTCAAAATTTCACCCACAAAATACAGTCACTACACTTTACAGTATATTCTGTGAAGCGCTTTGAGACGTCTCAACGACATGACAAAGCTCTATATCAAATGCAATTATTATTATTATTAATTCAGAATTGCACCTTAGAAAGGCATCAAGAGTTATTTTCAAGTTCCTAAACCGACTGGGCGGAACTGCCAATCTGTTACTAATCTCTGAAGCGGTTTTGTGCTTTTGTCCAAACTAATATCACTTTGTGACGCACAAATGGCAGAGAAAACAGATTTTAATCCAGCCAATTTAAATATTAAATCTGAGATGAAAGCTAACACCCTGTGGCATCCAATCCCCAAATCTCAGCAGCCAAAATCCTCCCAATTGTGTTTAAACATAACATTACGTCAGTTGCTGTGTGATCTATTTTGAGGATTGACGCTGGAATTATTAGTCACTGATAATATGATAACTTAATCTGCATCTCTGATAAAATCATTCAGGCATTAGTACCATTGAAAGAATTGTTAAAAAGGTCTTGAACTTATTATTAATAATAATAATCCTTGCATTTGATATAGAGCCTTTATTATATTGAAATGTTCGAACCACCTCACAATAATTACTGTTAAGTGTAATGACTGTGTATTTGTAGGCAAATGCAACAGTCTGTCTACATAGAATTACAGCACAGAAATAGGTCATTGGGACCAATAGGTTCATGCCAGTGTTTATACTCTCGAGACTCTTTCCCTCACCTACACCTCTGTGTACGTCTTCCTCATGTATAAGTTGAGTTTCCTCTCACAGCAACGTTCAACAAAACAGCTGGAAGGTGGAATGATGAGACCTCAGTTTAATGTCTCACCTGAAGTTGGAACCCACTTGGGGAACTGTAAATAGATTCAAAAAAGACCTCCCACAGCCTATAAGATCTGTAACACATGGTGCCAAGGTTAAACAGGATTTTTAAACGTCTTAACACTTTTGAAGTTGGTTTTCAGATAAATAAAACTAACCAAAAGTAGGAGTAGAATATTTTGCACTGAACTATTTAACAGGTTTTTTTCCAGGTGATTACAGGAAATAGTCAATTTTGTTCTGTTTCTTTTAAAATAAGACATATTTACTGAATGATCCAGTTAATTATATAGGCAGTTGTTAACACAGGCACTCGTGAATACACAATGCTCTCTGTGGGAAGGTCTGTCCTTTGTGCTTACAATGAGCAATTCACATCGGTGCTAACTTCACAGGCTGCATGCAATGCAAACACAATCATAATGGTGACTATAAAGCATATTATGGTTTGTAGGTGTGGTACTGTATTTATAAATGGCTCTGAATATTTTCAATGCCCTGCAGCATAATATACTGAGTGTACAGCTCATGTAGTTCTTCCCTTGAGCGCCAACGGATAATAATACTTGCAATTAACAGAGCGCCTTGCCACATACAAATGCTAAAGTGCGTCGCCCCGCAAATTATTCTGAATTGTATCAATTGGTATTTAGGCAAACGCAACAGCTCCAGTAACCTACATGCAGCAGCAATGGAGAGATGAATGGCCAATTCAGTTTTTTTGGGGGGGACCTGCTATCCCCATATTAACCTGTCCGCTCCCTCTGCTCAGCAAGCTCCGACCTGCTCTACATCCCACGATGGCTCGCCCCACCATCGGGGGTCGGGCCTTCAGCTTCTCTGTTCCCACCCTTTGGAACTCCATCCCACAGACCCTTCGACTTGCTCCCTCCCTCGCCTCCTTCAAGGCACGTCTCAAGACCCTCCTCTTCGACCGCACATTTGGCCACCCTCCTACTCTCCCTGCTTTCCACCCCCACTGAACCCACCAACCCTGATCCCAGCCTCCCCTTGATCCCAAACCGCTGCTCGGAGTTCAAATACCTGATTGTCAAAGGCCTTGGGACGTTCTCCTGACGTGAAAGGTGTTATACAAATGTAATTTGTTGTTGTAAAGTAAATAAAAGAAAGCTCGGAATGGGAAAAGGCCATTTGGCCCATTATGCCCGATCCTTCTGTAGGAGTCAGTAAATCCTTCATTCAATTACAATGGCCAATTGACTTTCTCACACTCTCAGCTGCTTTAACAATCTGCCATTGCAAATTTGCATCACCTAAATAGCACCAGGTTTATTGTCAATACAAATTCTATGCACATCTGAACGAAATAATCACTACAAGATTATCAACTGGAGTTTCACCAATTCCCCTCCTACACCAGGTACGAAAAATCCATCCAAAGAGCTGAACAAAAAAAAAACTCTTAAGTTTGCAATGTTTATTTTAGGAAATATATATCAAACACACACATTTTTATTTTATACATAAAGTCCAATTCGACAATGCATGAAAACCAAAAAAATGCACATAAAAAGGTCATGCAATGAAAGCCAGAAGATAAGCTTCAATTTAACATTCAATATAATTACATTTCCAATACTGAGCAATTTAATGTGCTACGTTTTAATACATTTGATTAGATGGATTAAACATTCCAAGGAGTGCCTGGTTTTAAGGAAGAAAACGCTTTTTCTTTTTTTTAAACATTTTTGTGTTGACAAGACATTTCTTTGGTAAAAAAAAAGCAGTTGTCCTAGCCATCATTAACATTGTCACATCACTAAAGAGCTTGTCTTTTTTTTTAAAACAATAGTCACCTCACCAGTTTCTTTTAAGTTAAATGAGACATCGATAAGCTTGGTCTTACTTCCAATCAAAGCAAAGTTGGGAAGCCTCAACACACAAGGATTTGGGACTTTCTTAAATACATGTCGGCTGACTGTATTTCGTTTCGATATAGTGAAACATGCTGGTAATATATTCTAAATAAATAGAGCAGTAATGATTAATCCAATTATTTTTTTTCTTTCCCCTACCTCCGGCAGAACACTGGCTTAGTTTTATCCACTGCAGTAATATTAAAAGCGTACTTTTTTTTTAATCCACCAAACCATTCTGTTCACAAATGGATGCAATTTTCTTAAACGTTTTACCAAACAGTTAATTTTGTATTAAAAATATATACCTCATCCACACACACACACACACACACTCAAAATCTATGTTTGCATCAAAAAACATTCCTCAATATTGCCCTTTGGTATTTTGAAAAGCCAACGAAATAAAACAATACAAAAATACGGCAAATGTGCAGCGTTCGGTTTCAGAACAAATAATCGTGCGTTTGTGAACAGAATACCAAGCTGTGGAATAAATTAGCTCAAGACCAGCAAAGGGCCTTACAGAATGATGGGTTGGTGAACTTTTCCGACAATTCTCAGCTCCCGGTTGATCAAACGAGTGGAAAATGGCAACACGTCGTTTCTTCACACGTTGCTGTTTAAATCCTTCACTGTTTCTCCCTCAGACAACCCGTTCCCCTCACTCAGCCGTTGGACCCTGTACGCTTCATAGTGGATGTTGCTGGTCACGTCTTTCAGATTCTGCATGTGAGTCCTGAGAGGTACAGAGGTACGTGGTGATCAACAACAACGACAACTTGCATTTATATTCCATTCCAACAATCTATCTCTGGGACTTCCACGTGCCGGTGGGACGCATGGAAATCTCAGCTTGGTTTGAATACTCTTTAAGTATTAAATAATAATCCTGGCGTTCGATGGGGCTCCTCATCACGTCTTCGAGACGTCTCAAAACGCTTCTCAGAATATACCGTAAAGCGAATTGACTGTGTATGTTGTGGGAGACAAGTACTGTGTGCGCGGCTCATGTGATTCTTAAGCACGGTGATGGGTTTCCGTGTGTGTCAAGACACACGACTGCCCCCACCCCACCCCACCAAAATAGCGCCCTTCATACGGGGCAGAGTCTCAGAGAGTGGAAAAGTGGAAAATCAAGTGTTTTTAATCGAGTGCGTCACTTCACATTCCAGTCGTGTCCGAGGGTTTTCAAGGCAATTGTAACCTGACTGTCGCGCTAAACACACTCTAAAACGTTGTTCCTGCATCTCTGTTATGCTCGGCCTCAGTGTAGGAATTATATTCAACATTATAATTCACAATCGTTGAGTTTTTAAAAAAAACTAACACTGGGTTGATGAAATATCTTGCTGCAAATAAGACCTTGGACAGTTCAATTGTTAAAAAAACATGCATTACAGGGTATTAAGCTACAATATCAATGTAAAGAGAAAATTGAGCCTTCATAATAGATATCTACAGTATAGTCTATACTGTATACTAACCTTATCAGGAGATCACGCAAGTAGGCAAATTCGCAGTGAGTAATATTTTCCACTGGAAAAGACATTAGAAATGAAATAGGATCCATTACAATTCAGCTAACACTTTGTATTCTAAGCACAAGAGAACACAGCTGTACAAAATTACCTGGTTTTGAGCTGAGGGTTACTACAATGACCATAAAGTTATTCAAGTTATTTATAGGTACATCCAATGAGGATCTTATATATTCAGTACCGTTTTTACTATTGCTGATAGGAGTGGGATTTCTCCTAGGCACTGAGATACTTGTGTTGAGACCATGTCTGCGATCATTTCATTATCCAAAAGCACTGATCTAGATAGATAATTATTTGGGGAGGACAAGTTTGCAGGACTATGGGGAGAGCGCGGGGGAGTGGGATTGAATTGGATAGCTCTTGTCAAAGAGCCAGCACAGACACGATGGGCCGAATGGCCTCCTTCTGTGTTGGAGTCTAACAAATGGCCTTGGATATAGAGATTAAAATCTCCTGCTGTTAAATGACCACGAGAGGGCGGAAGAGCATGGTCCATTCTAACAATGGTCCATATAACTGGAGGGAGAACAGCTGATTCCAGTCCTATCAGACTGCGATATCTCCAGACACAGCGCAGTCCAGCCTTGCCATCAGATAATGTAAAGATTCCAGGCTATCTAAGTTCCAGTTGTTCCTGCATTGCACGGTCACAATTAAGGATAGTTAAGGCAAATTGCTATGTGAAACATTTCCAATACAAAAACGGGGGCCGAATTTCCACTTGGGTCAGGATTCACTCCATTTTCCTAGCTTTGCAGAGTGAGCTTGTGGCAGTTCGGCAAATCGTTGAGTTTCGGGCTCAACGGTGTTGATTTATTGCTGGATTTCTTAAACAAAACTTACAGAAAAACAGCTTCGAAATGAAGGCGGTATTTAAAGATGAAAGATTTATCCATTTCTGGATGTTCTGAAGTGCTAAGAAGATCAGAGTAAACCTGGAGCCAGGTGGAATTTCTACCCAAGTTAGCTATAAAACTGAAGGACGTATTTCTCCAGAGTGACGGCAAATTCTCTCATCTGACATGTGTGTTCCCAAGAAGAACATGTGCTAAGAATTCGAAGAAAATGCATTTCGTATTGGACTGCAATGCCTTACACGCCTACATTATATGTTTAAAAAAGAGATGCATAAAACAAACAACAAATTACATTTGTATATGCGTCCTTCATGTCGGGAGGACGTCCCAAGGCACTGGAGAGTCAGGGAGTTTGGGATACATACAAAAACGAACCGAATTAATTAAGACCGCGAATGAATGCAGCAAAATGTAGGAGGACAAGAATATGGAGTGAAATGGTCTTAGAAATTGTAAAACCTAAAAGAAAACCCTGTAAAGTTGCTGGAGCGTGTGGTTTGCTGTTAACTGCATGAAGAGAGAAAGAGCCTTTGGGCTCCCCAATTATAAGTGCAGATGTGTCCGTGCTATGGAGCTGCTAATAAAAAGACTTTGTAAGTTTTTCCAAGAATCAGGTCGTTAGTCACTGTTGTCCATTGGGAACACAGTTCAGGAAAATATCCTACAGATATTATTCATTGCTCTGCTTTGAGTGTCTTTAAAGTACAAGCATTCAGAGGTTCCACGGAAAGGATATTCTGCTTCCCTCTGCAGGTCTTTGCTGATGGAGCGCAACCTATATTTTATTGTGATATGGTTTACATCAATTTAATTATTTCCTTCATACAGTTCTTAAAACTGGTACCATAAAAGTTCAAAGTTGGTCGCATTGTTCATTCATTTATTGCAGTCAATCTGTTAAGTCTTCATTGACTCTTTACGAAAAGAGGACGTTTTAAAAAAAACCTGTTTCAAGTTTCAGGTAAAATGGTGCTTGCACTAAGGGTAATCAACCGGAAATGACCTTGATGGTGCACCAGTTTGAAAACTTTTGGATGCTGCACTTGGTTAAAACAATCACAGCTTGATACTGTGATGGGCAGATGGGTATTCTGGAAGGATGAGATCAAGTGGGCTGAAGGGCCTTCTTCATCCAAACCAATCTTATGAAATTGTGATTTGCACATAACCTTTTCGAGACAAAACCACTTTAATCCGACATATATTAATTCCTCTTTTTACCTTCCTTCTCCTCTTGATTTGTAAGCTACCACCCCTGACACAGCACAAGCCAAGCCCTGACAAAGCTTCTGGGTAAGTACACTGTGCTTGGCTTCAGCAACACAGGAATACTTGTAATAGCTGGTATGAGAGCAGGAGGCACTGGTTTGTCCTCTCTTCGAGTGAGGCGTCTCCTGAATGAATGCATGTGTGGAGATCGGAAACATGCAACAAGGGAAAAACGTGCGCAGAACTGGATTTCGTTGTCACAAAGAGTGAGAAAAGCAGAATGAAGAGAAAGGCAGACTGAAAGAGACAAGGAATCAGAGCGAGAGAAAGCCTGGGTCCGAAACGCTGATTGTCCAGCGCCTTGGGACGTCCTCCCGATGGGAAAGGCGCTATACAAATGTCATTTCGTTGTTGTTTTTGCATTGCAATAATTGTAAAACTCCAATGTTTATAGCTGGCCCAGTAGCCAATTTGAATTTTATGTGATGTCCAATTATCTGCAGTTTACTTATCCGGCCTCAATTTGTGTACGCAATCTGCTGTATTACATGTATTGTAATGGTCACTAAATTGTCGTCGATTCAAAAGGAAACGCAGGAAATATTTATTTATAGGAAACTCTTGAATTTAAGACTAATTATATCCCCTTAAATAGATTTCAATTCAACTGTCAACAGAATTAAGTCAACAGTAGCAATTCGAGAGGTTGCTATTGATTAAGCATGATAAAACTTTCAGGAAAGGAAGCGTTTACAATAAGAAAGTATTGTTACTGAATCGCTTTTACTGTTTATAACCTGGGCAGGCCAAGATGAACAAATGTTCACAGTAATCAATCAGGCAAACTGCGATTACCTGCAAGTCTATTTACGAGCTGAACAGCTTTGGGAACAATTTGTTAGCTTGAACGACAATTTAAACCGTTTCCCTGAAAGTAGATCACGGTTTCAACTTTGAAATTGGCTGAAGAACAACTTGTGATATGTACATTTTTCAGCCGTTCTTCAGGCTGCAAGCAATTCTGCTTCCAAGGAAGCTTTTACCATGTTTTGGAAAACAACCCATCTTTTTGCACTTGGGTTTGGATCGAGCGCACTGAGAAACAAAGTCAACAATTTTACAAACAAGAAACTGGGAACCTTTCTAGATTTTGTGGAGCCTCCCAGTAATAAGAAACAGCTGGTCAGCAAATGAACCCTTTTAGCGCTTCCAGTAACAACCAAATACAGAACCGTAGCAATGTACTACATGGCACGAGTCCATTCGGCCCAGTTTTTCATGTTGCTGTTTGCTCCCCCAAGACAACAACAACTTGTACTTATATAGCACTCTCCACACAGGGTAGCGTCTCGGAGCGCTTAACAGTGGCTGAGCCTGACTCCGAGCCGGTGGGGGAGGTGACCGTAAAGCACGGTCAAAAAGGTTTTCAGACGGGGCTTGAAAAAGGGGAGAGAGGGGACAAGGCGGACGGATTGAGGGAGAGTGTTCCACAGATTAAGGGTGTAGTGGCTGATAGCGCGAAAAACATCCCAATTCCCTGCTCCTTCATCGTTCCCTCTTAATGAACTTTCCCTGCAAGTGTCAATCGAATTCTCTTAAATCGCTCAAATCGATCCTACTGTAAACCTTGGTAAATAATTCCACGCTCTGACAGGTTACTGGAAGAAGTTTTCCTGAAGCCCTCTCACTCCCCTAGTCACAATCTTGAATTCATGTCCTCTTATCGTCAGAGCTCCTGTGTTTGCAATTACCTTCGACCGTTCCCCACTTTGTTTTTCGTCCAAGGATTCTCCTTCCGTTCACCTGATACTCTAGGTTACTTCCAACCACTGCAAAAGGCACCATTTCCTAACAACAGAAAGAGCAACAGATATTAGCAATGAATTTTTGTTCAGAACTTTTTGCCTGTGTGCTAGTTTCAGCACCTGGCCTACTTCCTGCCAATAACTGAGTGCGAATTGCACCACATATAATTTTCTGCAGAAAGCTATCAGACCTTATCGAGGACAATCTGTCCACCTCCGAACGACCTTCATTTCCTATCAGCATCGATCATTGCTGCTCTTCGAAAAACGTACAAGTTGCATTTTTTTTGTGTCCGTTTTTGGAATCGTGCTGGAACATTTTCACTCTGTCTAACATTTATTCACGATTGACCAACTTACTTTATTCCAGACGTTTTTTTCCTTCTCCCTCCCACTTCTATTTATTCTTGTGCGTCTTTGTTTCTTTCCTTTGCAACTCAATCTCGCGCCATCCACTACCTTATTCCGAACTCAAACTTCAATAAATCTAGGAGAGTGCACACCTCACTACATTTTCCTTCAGCTGGTTCCTGTTGTCTTTGGACTGTTGACTGGAGTGCAATAATAATAATACTTGCATTTGATATAGCACCTTATCACACCTTTGAGACAACTCAAAGAGCTTTACAGAATATACTGTAAAGTGACTGTGTATTTTGTGGATGAAACGCAGCGCACAGCAGTGTCCCACAAACAGTCGTGGATTGAAGTGACCAATTTATTATTATTATTATTATTATGGAGTGTAGTGCGTAACAATCAGAAAACTCATCTTGTCCAGGAAAGAATAGGCAGAAAGAAACAGTTGAACGATCTTCAATATAAAACGACTATTAGAATAACTATCAGCGAGTCAAGTAGGGATCCAGCAACAGCTAAACACTGCCAACCAATAATGAAACGTTTGCATTGCCCACAAACAGACAGAGACATCCAGGTTTACAAGTTTCACATCAGGTCCTCTCAGAACACGCTTTTCCTAAACCTTTCACACAATCAGAAAAAATTTTTTTTGCTCCTTGCTTTCAGTCACTTTAAGACATTTGGTCAAACACCCACAAAGGTCCACATTTCCGATAACCTGTCGTTCAAGGCAAATGCAATGAAATCAACAAACCACCTACGTTGCCTATTTTTAAACTACTTCCTGTGCAAAGTAGAGTCAAAAAGAATTCTTTCTTCCACTTGTCATTCTGTATAATGGACTTCAGGGGCTTAAAACTCCACCTAAACTTAACCCGTTAAAAGCGTTTTTATCATTAAGTTCAATACCGTACAGAACGGTACAAATTCTTGAATTCAGTTGCAAGCCGTTTTTCTGCAGTTCTGAGTTTAAGAATTTTACACAATTCTGTGTGATCTTAAATTTTATAATACAATCACCTTACAGGCTTGCAACAACAACAACAACAACAAGATTTCATTTATAGAGCGCCTTTCATGTCGGGAGGACGTCCCAAGGTGCTGTACAGTTGGGTCAGGACCCGAGCAGGGAGGACATGGTCAGGGGGAGGGGAGGGAAGGGAGGGAGCGAGGAGGGGGTAGAGAGTCGAGAGGGGAGCTGAAGGCTGAAGGTCAAAGAGAAAGGTCTTGAGACCGGCCTTGAAGGAGGAAAAGGAGGAAGCGGCGAAGGCACTGGGGGATGGAGTTCCAGAGCCTCGGGGCTGAGAGGCTGAAGGTCCGGCCACCGGATGGTAGGACGGTTGGGGCGGGGGGTGTGGAGCAGACCGGAGCCAGAGGAACGGAGGGTACGGGCAGGTAAATAGGGGGATAGTAGGTGGAATTTTAGTGTTTCAATCAGTGTTTCATACCTGAACTGGGGGTCGGCATCGGGGAGGGTGGAGGGAGGGTGGGGTGGGGTGGTGGGGGGGTGGAAGGAGGGTGATTAAACGCACAGTCAAAGAGGAGGGTGTTGAGATGGGTCTTGAAGGAGGCAAGGGAAGCCAGTGGAGTCAGGCAAGGATGGGGGTGATAGGGTCACGGAGCCTGGTGTGGGAGAGGACACGGGCTGCAGAGTTCTGGATGATTTACAGTTTATTTAAGCAAGCAATTTACTATATAGACCTATCATTGGTTCAATAAAATCTCTGTTATTTCGTCTAGACATTTTTTTTCAAAGAGACATTTGCCCCCAAAAGCCACAGTTCTTGCAGATCGCACAACAGCAGAATGTTGATATTAACTGAAGGACTTGCAATTTTGTAGAACTTGTCATGTCTGAAAGCAATTCACAAGTAATTACCATCAAGTGCGATGTGGGCAAACTGGCCATAACATTCACACATTTTTCTCCTGTTTGATACATCTCATTTGCAACCCAATCTCCCTCTCACCTCAGTTTTCATTATTTTAAACTTTAGACACGTTTTTACATTATTTCCCATCTAACCTGACCACTGGCTTCTTTTTGGTACCCACCACCCAGCTCGTCCGAGATAAACCACCCGATATGAACAGAACATCTGAGAAATATTAATACATGAAACTTGGAAGAGCTGCCACAGGATGAGTAAACTCACAAGCAGTCTCCAAAATCAGACGTAGTATTAACTCATTGCCTGTTCAGGCAGACTTCAGAGATCACTTCATAAAGAATAATATTAAATAATCCTTGCATTGTGATATAGCGTCTTATCGCGTCTTCGAGACGTCTCAAAGAGCTTCACAGAATACACTGTAAAGTGAATTGACTGTATATTTTGTGTGCGAAATATGCTATTTGAAAAGAAAATGGAGTTTCTTTCTTCTGGTGTCCAGGCCAATAATTGTCCAGGTAAAATAGGTTATTCACTTCACTGCTGTTTGTAGGACATTGTTGAGTGCAAATTGGCACCGTGTTTGCCTACAAACGGTCAATAAACTTTACAGAGGTGCCTAGGGATGCTTAACGTTATAGGCAGTCTCCCTCGATGCCTTCCTCTTTGAAGCAAGGTTATCTGAGCTAAATCAATTCACATTATTATTGCATTTTGAGATCAGAAGCAAGAAATTCTACTTACCCTAATTTTATCATTCATTATTTGATCCTCTTTATCTTCGTCAAATTGCCTTTGAGGATACACGTTAATGTCATGTTTCTGAAGGTCTTCTCTGATCTATAATAAAACACCTTGATTTAAGTGATCACCATTCAAACAGTTCTCTTTCAACGCCTTTCAGCGCTTTGGGACGTCCTCCCGACGTGAAAGGCACTCTATAAATGGAATTTTGTTGTTGTTGTTGGCTAGTGGAAAGTCTAGGAAGCTCGAAGCTGTCCTGCTCCTTAAGTCTTTTAAAACCATTTGTCACTAGCAGCTGAGTTGAGCCAAACTGACAGGGAGTCAGTCCAGATTTGTGAGGTGTACGGGTTGATGAACAGTTATCTAGGGGTGCAGATACATATATCTTTAAAAGATGGGCGTGCACATTGAAAGGGCCTTTGGGATTCTGTGTTGTACCGGTCGGTACACAGGATGAGGCATTGAATCAAAGTGTGGGACTTCAGACTTTACAAAATACATGAATAATTGCAGTTATATCGCTTCAGACAACAGTGCAATGTGGGAGAGAAAGTCTGACTTGTACTCCTTCTTTGTTCCAAATCACATTCTTAATTTTTGAATTAAAATTTATTGATTGATTTTTTATATAAAAAAATAAGAACCCCTGTCATGGGACATTTAACCCAGTTTCTCGGAGGTCCCTTGAGCACCCGTTGGGACCACCCAAAAACATTACAAGAAGCCTTTAGGAAGGAGAGCCAGGAAGGATTGACACCGGGGACGGCAGTGCAGTCTCTACAGCAGGGAGCCAGTCCCAGTTGTACTGCCGACAATCCCAGGTTATACAGCGAGCTTTGTGGTGACTCAGGGAATGAGTGCAGCACATTTTGAATGAATGGTTAGAAATGGATGATCAAGGAAGTGGGCAGTAGAATACTCCACGTGTTTCTGTTTTAAAACATCTCATTCCCCCCCCCCCCCCACCCACCCCAGTTAGGGCGAGTGCTGCTGGTGTGTGTACCTTACAGCTGACTATGGCGCACGCGGGTCACACCTTATTTTATTTTTAAAAAAACAGAGAAAAAAAAAATCACTGCGAACGCCAAAAAAACACTCCCAATTCCCTGCCTGCCGACGGGGTTCCAAAAACAACAGAGGAGGTTGTTTGGTTTGAAACGCTTCTCCCTTCGGGAAAGAGAAATCACCTGGGCAGGAAACGGGGCCCACGTGAAAATGGCCGTGTGCCAAGCAGATGACAATTCAGCGTCGCTCGCTTACCTTCTGCTTGAAAAAATCTCTCTCCTCCAGTGTTAGGGTGTCCGCTTTGGCGATGACGGGGACAATGTTCACCACTTTGCTCAGCCGCCTCATGAACTCGATATCTAAAGGTCGAAGGCTGCAAAACAAATGGCAATGAGTTGGAATGCATTTGTGCGTTTTCATGCATTTGTAAGCCTGAAAGTCTTTCATTACAGGGACTAATTCGCACGACGTACGATTATGCACCTAAATACTGGAGAGAAAATCCTAGTTTTGTTTAGAAAGCGTTTTACTCTGCGCCTTCAGTCACTTCAAAGACGAGGATTTGGGGATGTGCCAGTTTCTTGGTGTGAACATAGTCTTTGATAAATATACATGTACCCTTTGGCAGCTGGTAGTATCTTTCTTATTTTTTTTGTTTTTAAAAAAACGTAGCTCGGTAGTTCAATGCTGTCAAAAAGCAAAACAGTTCTTCTAAAATTCCTCTCGTCTTGTGAGCTTGCGAAGCATTTCCGTGGGATTGTCGCGGTGTAATTTACATAGACACTGAACAGAGATGTAGCACTGTCAGGCTAGAAAATTGAGACTGAGTGCGAACATGGGAGTTAGACAAGATAATTGGCATCCAGTTAGTATCCAATTCCCACAGAGTGCCGGACCTGCAATGAGCTGGAAATGGACAAGAGTAGTCCTCATCTGTGGCGAGCTCCTGAACACTGACTATGATGAGCAAAGAAAATCAAGGCTGCTATAAAATGGGTGGTCGGGGGGGGTGGGGGGGTGGAAACTATATCTCCGGACTAAAGCATCTCAGAACACGGGATAATTCAGGTTTGATAGGCAGCTGAAAGAAAGTCATAGATGCTGATCCTGGTTCAAAATGGAAAGCTAATGAGGTAGCTTGTTTCTTCTACCATCCCCTCGGTATTCTTATTTGGTACTGAGTTGAGTGTCCCGTCTTTGGTTGTGTTTCAGGTTCTCTGCCCCCACGCTTTGAAACTCCATCCCATGGTCCCTTTGCCTCGCTTCCTCCCTCACCTCCTTCAAGGCCGGTCTCAAGACCCTTCTCTTTGATCGTGCCTTTGGTTGACCTCTCCACCTCTCTGCCTTCCCCCACCCCTACACCACCCTTCCCCCATGCTCGAGCCCCGACACCTGACTGTTCAGCGCTTTGGGACGTCCTCCCGACGTGAAAGGCGCTCTATAAATGTCATTTTGTTTGTTGTTGTTTAGATTTGTCGCTGTGTAAAAAAAAATTAACTGCTGGGGATGGCAACAACCTCTCTTTATCCAGGCTCCTGAAGACGGAAACCGCATCCAGGAAGGACGGATGGCTCCTAAAGCTTCAGGAAGGGGTTTGGCCACTTTGGAAAGGTTTCCCCCCTTTAGAAAAGAATATAAAGGTGGAGTTTGAGCCTCCTGTATGTTAAGGATACTGAGCGAAGGGAAAATGAGCAGTGATAACATTTTATAGTGTTTGCTATATAAACTAGGACATATATCCTAGTATTGCAAGGCCCAAAGAGTTCATAAAAAGAAACGAGGGGAAATTACACTTGTACCAGCATTACAAAAACTGAACCTTGCTCTTTTCCTTTCTTTCCTCCCCATCCCTCCCCCCGAAAAACAAAATCCTAAGGGCAGCAATTAAAGGATTTACTGTCCAACCCTCTGAACTTCCTGGACGTAACATGCACAGCCAACGGGAAAGAGTTTCTGAACAACTGAAACAATAGGTTTCCGACAGTTGAAACAAAGCAGCAGAGTTAGCCACTTTCAAAAGAAAACTGAATGCTTCGTGACTGACCTTCACAGGGCACATTATCCACAATATATAAACTGCTGGATACAATCTTAAATACACTGCCCTCAAGGACTCAACTGCTGACCTGATGAACTGCAGACGCTTGCAGTTAAATGCAATTCTGGGTTTCCCGCCCATATACATCATTTGAGGGTCAATAGGCAGCTGTTCAGATTTGACACTCATTATTAAAAAAAAAACTATCAAATCTGTATTGAGACGAGGCTGGATGGTTTGGGAGCATTTAACTAGGTCAGTAAAATATCTGATGGGGAATTTTGCTCAAGTTAGTCGGCCTCTCAATTTATTTGGTCCTTCCTCAAGCTGCCCTTGAAACTAAGTTCAGGGGGAAGCCACTACTTGTATCTTGGTTTCCTCTTTGCTGCTTTTCAGGAGTAATCGCACATAGTTTTCCACTAGCAGCGTCTACACTCAACTCAAATCTCGCTCTGACTCGCCTTTTAATTCTATTGTAACATTCCTTTAATTGAGTGTGGTTAGACTTTCAGTTCACGTACGTGGAGCTTGCAGGGCCTTAGGACGTTCTCCCGACGTGAAAGGCACTATACAAATGTAATTTTGTTGTTGTTGTTGCTGGATCATTTCGGTTGCAGATTATAAAAACAATTCAATGCAAAGCTGTGAATTTTAGCCGTTCAACATTTTGCAGTTAAATTTGTGGTTTTACGCGTTACTTATTTTTAGCTTTAATCATATTTTCTATATCAACAGAGCCTGCTTAGGTTTCTTCAGGTTTATCAGCCACTGTGACAGCTAACACAACAATCTTTCAACAGTTGGGAATTTCCAGTAGGTTTACACCAAAATACCCACCTTTCAAAATACCCAGTTACGACTCACATACTTGAAGTTCTTAAAATGGGGGAAAAATGGGCCACACTCAAGTGTGGATTGACCCCCATTGTGGATTCTGTTTCTACAAAAAAGTTACTAAGAGTTGAAATCAATTCATGACTTGTTAGGATCCTAGATTTAGTAGTGCCAAGCATTGAAGGAATGGAGTTTATGAAGCAGGATTCATTAGATAATAATAATAAAATAATAATCCCTGCATTTGATATAGCGCCTTATCACATCTTCGAGACAACCTCAAAGCACTTCACAGAATACACTGTAAAGTGAATTGCCTTGTATGTTTTGTGGGCGAAACCACTTTCATCTTGTATTTCAGGGAGTTGGCATAACTCAAAACTGACCAGGTTACAACCAAGTTGAGACATCCTAACCGTGGTCTGGTATCAACCGCTGCCTGGGGTTGGGCTCAAAATATTTAAGAAAGAAAAACCACAGGCATCTGGTTAATGGGTGGGTCAGTCTTCAGCTAATGCCATTTTAGAATTTCCCTGAAGTCATTTGAGCAGGATATATGAAAGTTAAACCAATGGCATTTATTCTCTCTTAGGGCAGTCTCGCACAGAAGGCACAATACAATGATGAAAACGATTGGTAGGCCCTGAAATACGTACGAGTGTCCAGTCGGGGCGATGAAATATATACAACAGTGGACTCTCGTGTCTGGGATCCGCTTCTTCCTGTTGACAGTGAGCTCTTCTTTGAGGTATGTCTCATACTGATTGTTAATAAACTTCATGATGGGCTGCCAGCTGGAGGGAGAATTAAAAATTAAGTCATACTCCTTCACCATAACTGATGAAGCGGACGTAAAATTTACAGCAAAAGGTTATCAAGGCGCTAAAACACCACTGGGATGATTGAGAAGGCAGTGCTCAAGGCCTGGCTTCCAAACCCACCAAACGCTTTGATGCAAGTGCTGTTGTCCCCCTGATGCTCCATTAATACTTGATGATCATAAAATGCTTAACATTAGCTTTTGCAACACCAGGTTCCTGTCTAGGGTTTTTAACCATTGCACCTCTGGTACAATCTTGGACTTTTTTTTTAATTAAACGTGTGAAAGATGCTGCATTCTTTAACGTTTCTTTTGGAAGGTAATTTCAAAGTAAAGTACTGCCTCTTTCGATTACACCAAAATATTATTGAGAAGGGAGGGAAAAGGAACGCACAGTCAAATCGAATGCAATCTTAAACAAAAGATACTGTGAGGAACACAACACTTTGGACAGATGACAAATAGGACTAGGTTTGGCAGCGAGATATTTAAATACGAGTAAAATCCTGATTAGGTGACTCTTTTGAACAATTGCTTACCAATTCTCATTGTTCACCTGATCCCCAAATCCGGGGGTATCGATTACTGTTAATTTCATGCGGACTCCTTTCTCCTCGATCTCTGAAACAAATTGAGAGCAGTGGGGGGGAGAAAGTCAATCAAGACCACGCAATTTTATACTTTTCCATAAGACATGATCTGCTTTTAAGTTCTAAGTTCCACACATCAAAGTGAACGCTAACTTGTCACCTGTTTTAAAATCAGGCAAACGCGTGCCGATATATTCAGTTCCTAGAATAATATTCTCATTGTTTTACAAAAACATTTTTTTTAAAAAAAAACTTTGCCCTGACTTCTTTCTCTTCTGAAATGGTTGACTTGTGATGTCTCCATGGGGATCAGTTTATAATAATAATCCATTGCATTTGATATAGAGCCTTATCACGTCTTTGAGACGCCTCAAAGCGCTTCACACAACATACTGCAAAGTGAATTGACTGTATATTTTGTGGGCAAAGGTTTTGTAAACTTGTGGGTTCGTCCTTCGGAAACTCAACCAAGTGGCCACTCTTGATGTGTAGCTCTAGACAGTGCGCAGCAGCAGTCTAAATACATCACAACCAAAGACTTTACAGAAGCAGCGTCTGCAAAAAGCAGGGTCGCAAGCTCTGGCTGACGTATGTCTCCTTAGTCCATTGGGCACTGAGGTCAATTATAGCACTGCTTATTGCTGCTCTGGATGATATCAACTAGTTCAGCAAAGACTAGCGCTCAAACCTGTTGCCCTCTGGTCTTTAACAATTAATATTTCTCCCGTGTATAACTCTCTAAATTATTATTCCAATCATTATAATTAGCTTTTCTATAATGCGTTCCCCGCGATGACTGGGAGAGCGTACATTACTGACATGTTGGTTTCTCTACAAATTAAGTCAGTGGGGAAACTGTCATTGAATACTTTGTCAGCAAGGAAATAGTCAGTAAGAAAAGAGAACACATATCTAAAGTTAAAAACAGGAGTTTTCGCACAGTAAAAAGGTTAATCAAGCAAAACTACGGAATTAAGGTATCACATTGAAAGCACCACGGCTAAGTGGTCCTGTTATGAAAGAACACAAGTGCTAATTTAGTTGATATCAGTAGATATTTTGTAAACTTCCGGTAACTGCTCCCATTTTAACATTTCAGCTGCATAGTAATATTCATTCCCTGGTTGAATAAGAATTGCATCATTCTCCAGAGCTTTGTTATTAGTCCATGGATGAGATGCATATCCAATTAGGCTTAGAAATGTAACAGTGATACTCTCCAGTTCTGCCGAAGCCACTCCATCCGACTGTAAATGGGAATTAAATGTGGTTGCGTACAGTAAGTGAACAGAAGAAATTATTTGCATTGGTACTTGGACCTAAGAAGCTAGGCTTATGTAGGAACCAAAACAATGTTAACTCCAATAATGTGTTTACATGTATACATCAATAGTATGTTAGAATAACAACAACAACTTGCATTTATAAAGTGCCCTTCACACAAAGTAGCATCCTGGAGAGCTTCACAGTGGCGGAGTCTGACCATGTATTTATAATACTGTGTTTATATAAGAGATTGTGTGAACTTATGTGCATGCACACAAATACTGATGTCCATCAACACAATGACTGATGTACTCACCGTGGCTGATTGATTTCATTTCCACCATTAGGGGAATCTGCTCCTCAGTTCCTGCGATAGATTTACGACTAACTTTGGACTTAAACAACGTGTTTATTAGAGTGGCTTTTCCCAAACCACTCTGACCTGAGGGTGGAAAAGAGAGGGTTTCAGTCTTGCAACAAAATAAGTCAATTCAGATCGATGTCTTCCTAGGATTTTCACAGCACCATTTGGTGAAGTATTCCTTCAAAAGTTAAATTGCTACTAACGGTCTATATTTACTGCAGTTTTATTCTAAGCTTTGCTTCTATTTCTGGATTTGCACCACACCTCTCAATTGAGTCACTTGAAGGGAAGAGAATCAAGAAAATCTAGTAGTTGTAGGGGGTCAGAGAAAGATTGGGTATTGCTCACACTGAACTGTGGCAATGGGTGAGTTAAGAGGATAAAGGCAAGAATTAATGGAGGAGGTAACAACTGGTTATGGAGTGGAGGTGCGGGAGAAGAAGAAATGGCCATTAATATTACCTACACATCAAGCTCATGATTTCAAGCTAAAGTGCATTGGCTGTCCCAGTAGAATGATTAAATCCCAGAGGAAACAACATACAGAGGATGAAGGCAGTATGAAACAGAGCAATTGGCATTAAAAAGCAAGAGATTTCTGTAATATTGGACATCTGCACTTTTAAGGGAATGTAATTCCTTTCTAGTCCCATCAGGCAATTAGATTAATATAGGAAGCTTGACTGCTTACATTGAAACAGTCTATGGTACTCTGTAAATTGAGCATTTCCCGCCCCTGTTGTAAAACATTATCTGCCTCACCAGTTGCAGTTTGTCATTGTACAGACCCAATATCCCAATGTGAAACATGACACTGCTTCCTTGTCCTAACGTATTTACCAAAGGACGGCTGCCTCGTTCTCCAGATGACACCTGGCAGGATCCAAGAGTAAAGCAGGTGAATGGATTTGCGACACGGAAGCATCGCCGACCACAGGCAAATGCAGCCAAGTCCTGAGCTGTCAAATCCGTCCACACATTGGAGCAACTTCAATCTGGGAATACACTGCTCCAGAGAAATGATACTCTTGGACTTTAGACTCACAGCCTCCTTCGCAATCTAGCAAGTCTTATGTTCTGGTAGGCCTGAACTGGAAAATATTTCTCAAATCGACTCCAAAGTAATCCAGCAGAAGTGCTTTCGCAGTCGATCGTATGTAATGGGATCGTCAGTGAAAGGCATCTTAAATCAAAGGCCTCTTTGAAATCTCCCCTTTGCCCTGGCCTCATTACACATTAAGTAATGAACCTGCCAAATATTCACAAGAAAACCTGGTTAAATATTAAACGTTTCCGTTCTCGGTCACTTACCGACAACCATGATGTTGAATTCGAATCCTTGCTTCATAGCTTTTCTCCTCATCTGCTCAAGGATGGAATCAATGCCCACATATCCGAACTGCTCAGATTCCGTCTTCTCAGGCTGCACGGACGGCTTCAAACTCACATCGCGGGAACGTTCAGACAGGGTTCGAGGAGGCTCAGACATGTTACTGGGTTTGCTCGGGAGAGTTTCTGCACCTAGAATACAGAGAAACCCTCTAATTTACACTTGGTTCATAAAAACGGTTATAAAATTCCAGTGAATCACACATACAATGAGATGCAATAATTAACTATTATCTGGTCATTTCTTGCAGATTGCCAAATAAAAATACAACAATTATTGTAAGTAACAGTGCACTTTGTTTAATAATGACAATAGTTCCTGCAATTGATATTGCACCTGCAATGTTAAAACATCTCAAAGGGTTTTTCCAGTAATTGTTGTTAAATGTAGACTGGCTGCTGTTCACCACAAACAGAATTTGTGCACTGCAATCCACAAATAGGCAGGAAGTGAATGTTCAATTCAACAGCAAATTTACATTTCTATCGCGCTTTTCACGTCAGGATGACGTCCCAAGGCGCTGGGCAGTTCAGGGTTTGCACCCCAGCTGGGGATGGGGGAAAAAATGACCGAATTCATCTGTAGCCTTGTTAGTCAGGACACCAGGAGAAACTCTCTTCTCCTTTTCAATTCTGCCGTGGGTTCTTTTAACATCCTCCTACAGACAGAAGGAAACAATAAAGTTGGATTTACAGTACCACATGCAGTCCAACCTTCTGCAATAAAATAACTGAAGCGGTTGAGTTCAGACCAATAAACAAAGTCATGGTCAAGCTGTATGGTCCTCTAATCAGGCCACATCTGCAGTACCATGTGCAATTCTGAGCACTGCAACATAAAGTGCAGAGAAGATCAACAAGGCTGATCCCCAGGAAAGGAATATTTAACTAATCTGAGGTATGAAAAGAGAGCTATAAAAAATGCTAAGTGGGATACAGAATGTAAACAGATACTTTCAGACATGCTGAAGGCATGAGGTCACAGGATTTGAGATGTGAAAGCAATTTTAGGAGAGATACCAGGAAGTATTTCTTTACCTCAGGGTAATCCATTGGAAATTGGTTAGTAGGAAGGATAGTTGAAGCCAGAGCACTGGACTAGCTTAAAAAACAAAACATCTTGATACTCTTATGGTTTGGTAATGTGGAAGGATGAAATCAAATGGCTTTAAGTGCCTTCTCTGTCCAAAGCCTTTCTTATGATCTTTCTTTTTTCTCTTGCCACAAAGTCTCACTGAATTTAGATTTCAAACATACATCATAAAAATTACATTTCTGAAAATGAGTGTAATGCACCCCTTTGCTTTATGGCTTGTTTTCATCTCAAACATCTTTATAAGGGGGAAAAAAATAACAAATATCCTGACTATGCAATAATCCAGCATTCATAACCACGACCACAAAGACAACCGCTCCTTTGGCGCTCTGCACTTCTGGCTTGTCCCAGTGAAGTAAACCGTCACTCTTTCAACACTAGTGGAGCTGACTTGTTCATACGCCATTCACAGCAACTCAACATTGCATGTCTGAGGGGAATAACATCACACAAAATCCTTTCCAAAACCTAGAGTGCCTCGCTGACGTTGTGATAAAGTTAGAGTAAAACTTCCATTCTGTTGACTCGTTCTGGTTTACGGCTCCGTGGCCATCAGCATCCCTCCAGTATCGTGCCAAGCGGACATTCTTCAAGTTTGAGCATCAGCGTTAAATGCTAAAAGGCAATTGGACTTCAGACGCACCATAACTGAAACCAATTCTATTGTGATTGAACCTCTACACCCATGCACTTCCCAGTAAGCTCACTGAACACTGATCAAAAGTAGTAACTCTCACCTCTTTTTCTATTTCTCTAGCACAGGTTGAGTGAGGGCCAATATTGCAGCTCGTATTAACGTGACTCAATACGGACGGGGGAATTGAGCCTGGAACCTTCCCGATCTGTATAGCTCAGTTTCACTCTACGCACTGACCTTAATAACTGAATAAGTACATTCTTTCACAAGAAATGTGTGCTGGGTGCAAGGTAACTTAAAATCTGCTTTACAGCATCCCATTAATGTACATCAAGCTCTTCACTCTATTGTTTTTATTAGTGTGATCAATAAGAATAAAAATCCTTGCATTTGATATAGTGGCTTATCACGTCTTTGAGACGTCTCAAAAGCACTTCATGGAACAGACTGTAAAGTGAACTGACTGTATATTTTGTGGGCGAAACGCGGCAGCCAATTGCGCACAGCAGCGTCCCACAAACAGTCGTAGATTGAAACGACCAATCTATTATTAGTTTTTTTTGAAGGAATTATTACCCACCGGAAAAGTGATCCGCCAATTAACTAACAACCGGGTTCATACTTACTGATAGGTGAACAGAGGTGTGTGGAGTAAGGAAACTTGCCCAACATTTTGCCCTGCCAGGAATCGAACCCAGGTCTCTCGCTTGCGAGGCGAGTGCTCTAACCACTGAGCTACAGGACTCCAATAATTGCCATGCCTTTACCTGAGGTTTTAAATGAACTACCGACCAGGTCTGGTCCAATTTGCTCATCAGCATTGTTCTATGTGATACACATTGACCGTCGAGTTTTTTTTTGGCCAGCCCTAGGTTTTAAAGGGACAGGTGGTCTGCAGGGAGAGCAGTGGTTTCACCTGCACCTGTCCGATGTGGAGTTTTCTATCCAAATGCTTGACTTGTGCAAAAACTTTCTAAAAATGTGACGGTAAAGTTCCTCGTCTGGGCAAGCGATTGTGGATCAGCAGCCTTCATGACAATTTTACTAACGATTCCCAAAATATGAACAATATCAGCGTCAATACAGACATTTTAAAACAGAACTTCCTGTCGAATCTATTGCTTTGAATGCAGGGCCAGAAAATGAGCAAAAAGACTTAAGATTTTGTACCAGTTTATGGGTAGCCCATTAGCCATCGCAAAGTTACAGTCGAGCAAATAACAGGCGAGAAGGGACATTTTCAGGGCGACTTATCAAACCCCCAAAACTAACTGTGAATTCCAGCTTAAAACAAGAGCCCCAGACCTCAGTGTGTAACAAACGACACAGCTTTACATGACGAGACATTTATCCACTCTGCGGGGAACCTTTCAGAGAGTAACCCCGTCTTGATGCACAGATCTATCGCAAAGAATTGAAAACAGAACAAATTCTTAAACTAGGCTGTACGTACCAAATCCTAGAATCGCTGGATTCCTCTTAAAGCTCTGGTGATGAAAAATATAAACCACACCCACTTATTCTGTGAGTCATGTGTGAAGTTCCAACAAACAAACGAACAAAAAAGGCATTGAGGCCAAGTAATTGTTGCCCACTTCACAATACAGACCATCAATCAAGAGACCATGGATCTGAAACTCCCCCTAATCATAGCCTGCAAGGCTATTTTGTTATTAAAATTTAAGATCGTGCAGAATTATCCCAAATATTTATAATTCAGCCTGAGCAAACCAGGCACGCTAGGGAAATAAAGGGACATTTTCTTTAATTGGGAGTAGGTGGGTCATGCATTGGCTACGGCGACATCATTCTCCTTTCGCTTACAGGCATCTGGGTTTGAAGCCAACACGGAGTGATAAGGTGAAAGAACTTTGAATCCACAAATTTTTCACCCACAAAATATAGAGCCAATTCACTTTACAGTAAAGCACTTTGAGACGTCTCGAAGACGTGATAAGCCGCTACATCAAATGCAAGGATTATTATTATTTATTATTAATTGACTTTGCCCAGCTATTGTGGAAACACAAATGCACTGCACAAAACTACTTGTGAATAGGCAATAATTAAGTCCATCTCACTCAGAGATACAGGTTGTTACTGTGGGAAACAAAATGCCATGTGATGCATTGAATCCATCATCAAGATGCTTTGCAAATCGCTTTCCTTAGATTTTGGAGACTGGGAAGCTTTCACAGCAGTTAGACTGTGGCTTTCTGCTGTGAGATTCAGATCCTAGAAGTTCCAGGCTCCTGGTTAAATACAGTGGCATTGAATAAATAAAGATTAGGACGATAGTAAACCTGACAGGAACGATCTACGTAAAGGCATTTCTGCATTGCGTCAAAAAGACTATTACAAAGGAACTTCACTGGCACATCTCTTGGCATGTTTACGTTGGTACCTAGAGTGATTCAGTTACCATTCTGAAATCTGCAGTGTTTATATACTGATGCACACCTCTGACCTCTAAATTCCCAACTGCAAGGAAACTGAATCCCAATGAAGAAACTCCAAGCCCACGAAGGCATGGTACAGTAATTAGGTTACAGTGGTTCTTCAGCTTTCATTGAAGATACTTTTTAAAAAGTGCAAGTAACGTCCTTTAGACTATCCTTCTTTACTCTTATAAGCTAGCCTTCGCAAAGTTAATGTGCGACTTCCTAAAACATTTTACAGGATCCCACTACGCTGAAAAGACCTGCAGCAGACTGTTATTTGTTTGCTTCAATAAGCAGCCACGAGTGTGTAGCAGTGTTAATGAAACCCATCACTTTGTATTGCCACAATGTCCAGTTCATTACGACTCAGAACACAATGCTATAATACCGATGTCCAACTGGGGCCCAAGTACTAGTACAACAACAACTTGCAGTTATATAGCTTCCCTCTTCCAGGCTAGGCGTCCCAGAGCTCTTAAAGTAAGCATCATTTAAACTATTTTGTTTTTTTTTTGGCCGTCCGTTCATCTGACACAGGTAGAAAACCGTCACCGTGCTTAGGTCAACTAACCAAACTAGGGAGCCTTCCATAGAGGTAAAGTTTCAGCTTGTCTGATGTGGAGGGAATGCCCTGTTTACCTAAAGCTCAGAGAATTTAGGTGCAGGTTTGCCAAAAGCCAGGGTTTGGGAATCCCAGGGCGTGTTTTCGAGGTACGGAACTGCTGGAGTTTAACCGGTTAAAACACATAGCTTACCCCCCGCTAACACTGACACACTCATTGCCCAGATGGAACCATCCCACCTATTTCAATCCGTACCTACTCAATGAGCTAATCCACACTGCCAAGGTGCACATTCACAAAGTGCCAAAATCAGATGCTGTGTTTCTTTCGCCCAATTCAATGCGTGTTTCGCCCACAGTCACTCCACTTTACAGTATGTTCTGTGAAGCACTTTT